CAAATGCAGCAGAGGGAATGGGGTGCCCCATCACCACACGTACATTCCAGTTCAATGGTCGGTGACCTGTGGGCAATATTCAGACTCTTTGAAGGACCTGAGCTTCAGGGGAGCACTGGGAATTTTAAGTAAAAATCCAGAGTCAGGACAAGGGGTGGGCAGGAGGACAGTTGCCCCAGATGCAGCAGTGTGAGTGGGGCGCCCCTTCACCGCACGTACGCTCCAGTTCAGTGGTCTCTGACTTGTGGGCCAAGCCTTCATGTCTCCCCTGCCAACCACAGGCAGCAAGAGTTAGGGTCCACAGAATGGACACCATCCTTCATCCTCGCCCTGGACGCTGGACGATTCTATCCCGGCACTATATAAAGTCTATGGGGGACGTCTGTTACAAGAGAACCTGTCACTTTAAGTGAAAAAAAACACTTTCAAAGATTCGGCCTGGAAACTTTTTGAAGTTTCTGATGCAATCTACAAACACGTTATTTTTAGCACAGGCTCTTGGATGTCTTTGAGGTATGAATGTTATTCGGCTTGCTTAAGCAAATGTCTGATTCCTAGAAGTCGTCTTATCTCCTATCGCAGGTTTACGCTTTCCCATGATTGACCGCCATGAATGGCTCTATAGTACGCGCTTTGTAGAATTTTCCGCGTCATACACAATGGAAGTCATTGCCTTCATACAATGGCGGTCTTGGTGTTTGTGTTGGCTGACCGGCCCCCACAATGGGACCTATAAGTTATTACAGCCGACAATCGTCAATCGGGGATTCGTTCGCAGCTTTCTAGTGTACTTCAAACAATTCCTGGAAGGCTGAGCGATCGCTCTCGGTTTTTTATTCAAGTTCTCCTTTTTAGAAATAAACTCTTTGCCAGTCCTTCAACCTGCTGGACCCGAGGCAGGGCGGGGTTTTTTTTAACCCCTTTAAGTCCGGACACTTTCACCCTCTTCCTGCCCAGGTAAATTTTCAGCTTTCAGCATTTTCACACTTTGAATGACAATTGCGCGGTCATGCAACACTGTACCCATATGAATTTTTTAGCATTTTCTTTTGAGACAGATACAATTTTATTTTGGTGGTATTTATTCACCACTGGGATTTTTATGTTTTTTTGCTATATCAATTAAAAAGTCCAAAAATTTAGAAAAAAAAGGGTTTTTCTTCTAAAATTTTGCAAATAAATAATCTTTCTTGATAAATCTTGGCCAACATTTCTTTAGTTTTCTTGTTAGTAAAAAAACAATAACCCAATATAGTTTATAAACAAAAATCATAATTTTTCAAAAAAAAGTTTACATTTTTTTATTTTTTTTTAATATTATTATTTTTGCTTTTTTTTTAACATACTGTCACCCTAGCAGTGGTGTCACCATAGTGACACTGTACTACTTGTGGGGGGTGATGAAGATTTTTTTTTTTTTTTTTACACTGATTGCTTTTACACCCATAAAGGCTGTAAAAGCAATCATTTCTCCTTCTCTCTGGCTACATTCCTGCAGCCATTGAGAAATACTGTGTGAGCTGTGATTGGTCACAGCTTGTCACATGATACAAGGCTGTTGTGAATAGCCCTGTACCATGTGATCTCTGTGATCATTCACTGATTTCACTAGTAGTAAGCAATGATGTCAGCAAGTGACATCATGCTTACTACTATTCATGTGATCACTGATTGGCCAATGATCACACAGAGGTCCTGTACAGCGATCAGTGTCCCAGGGAGCGCGCACAGGCAGTGAATGCGGGGGCCGTTTATAACCGGCCACCCGCTCCTGCACTGCTCCCATCCGGCCATTTATGTACATGGGCCGGACGGGAAGTGGTTAAGCTAACACCCTGAAAACGGTTTGCAAAACACGGTGCGATGTGCAGAATTGGATCACATGGGTGTGAACACCCATGCGATCCGATTCTGGTGCCTAGAAAAACAGGGTCCTGCACTGTTTTGGTGCAGATGAGCTGCGATTTGAGCCATACAAAATGTATGGCTCAAATTGCAGCGCACAGAAATTGCATGTGATTTGCACAGGAATGCGGTGCGGTTCTTCTGCGAATCACATGCGATGCGCTGCACCGCAGAAGTGTGAACCCGGGCTAAAGTTGACCTATATCGTACAAAAAGCTTACAGCGTTACATTGTGTTTGGTCGATCATTCTCTTTTCCATCAAACGATGGGGCATCCCTACGTTCCTTACACATTACCCCTCCATATCAGATCCGTATAGAGATCCAGCAGGAGATTTGTCCCTCTGACTGGTTTTCCTTCAATTTTTTTGAGCCGTGTATATACACTATATTGCCGCCAGTATTGGTCAGCCGGCCTTTCCACGCACATGACCTTTAATGGCCCCCCAGTCTTAGTCCGTAGGGTTCAATATTGAGTTGGCTCCGCCCTTTGCAGCTATAACAGCTTCAACTCTTCTGGGAAGGCCGTCCACAAGGTTTAGGAGGGTGTCTATGGGAAGGTTGGACCATTCTTCCAGAAGCACATTTGTCAGGTCAGGCACTGATGTCGGGGGAGGAGGCCTAGCTCACAGTCTCCGCTCTAATTCATCCCAAAGGTGTTCTATGGGGTTGAGGTCAGGACTCTGTGCAGGCCAGTCAAGTTCCTCCACCCCAAACTGGCTCCTCCATGTCTTTATGGACCTTGCTTTGTGCACTGGTGGGCAGTCATGTTGGAACAGGAAGGGGCCATCCCCAAACTCTTCCCACAAATTTGGGAGCATGAAATTGTCCAAAATGTCTTGGCATGCTGACGCCTTAAGAGTTTCCTTCACTAGAACTAGGGGGCCAAGCCCAACCCCTGAAAAACAACCCCACACCATAATCCCCCCTCCACCAAACTTTACACCTGGCACAATGCAGTCAGGCAAGTACCGTTCTCCTGGCCACCGCCAAACCCAGACACATCCATCGGATTGCCAGACAGAGAAGCATGATTGGTCACTCCAGAGAACACATCTCCCCTGCTCTAGAGTCCAGTGGCGGCGTGCTTTACACCACGGCATCCGACGCTTTGCATTGCATCATCACTTGGTGATGTAAGGCTTGGATGCAGCTGCTCGGCCATGGAAACCCATTCCATGAAGCTCTCTACGCACTGTTGTTGGGCTCATCTGAAGGTCACACCAAGTTTGGAGGTCTTTAGCTATTGACTCTACAGACAGTTGGCGACTTCTGCGCACTGTGCGCTTCAGCATGCGCTGACCCCGCTCTGTCATGTGACGTGGCCTACCACTTTGGTGGCTGAGTTGCTGTTGTCCCCAGTTGCTTCCACTTTGTTATAATCCCACTAACAGTTGAGCGTGGAATATTTAGTAGCCAGGAAATGTCACGGATGGACTTATTGCCCAGGTGGCCACCTATCACGGGACCACGCTTGGAGTCACTGAGCTCCTGAGAGCGACCCATTCTTTCACCAATGTTTGTAGAAGCAGTCTGCATGCCTAGGGGCTTGATTGTATACACCTGTGTCCATGGAGGGGATTGGGACACCTGAATCACATGATTGGGAGGGGATTAGAACACCTGAGTCACATGATTTGGAGGGGATTGGAACACCTGAGTCACGTGATTTGGAGGGGATTGGAACACCTGAGTCACATGATTTGGAGGGGATTGGAACACCTGAGTCACATGATTTGGAGGGGATTGGAACACCTGAGTCACGTGATTTGGAGGGGATTGGAACACCTGAGTCACATGATTTGGAGGGGATTGGAACACCTGAGTCACATGATTTATAGGAGATTGGAAACACCTGAGTCACATGATTTGGAGGGGATTGGAACACCTGAATCACATGATTTGGTGGAGATTGGAACACCTGAGTCACATGATTTGGAGGGGATTGGAACACCTGAGTCACATGATTTGGAGGGGATTGGAACACCTGAGTCACATGATTTGGAGGCTGGCCCAATGCTTTTGGCAATATATATATATATATACTTTATATTTTTTTAAATATTATTGTTATTATTAATAATAATAATAATAATAATAATAATAATAATAGCAGCACAGTGGCTCAATGGTTAGCACTTGCACCTGGCAGTACTTGGGTCGTGCCCAAGTTTCCAAATGGTCAGTCTGCCCCTGCCCGTGTGTCATCCAGCGCACAACGCCATGAAAGATCCGCTCTTTAGCCGTTATCTAGCTTCGCCTATATTGACAGCGCCAATTATTTGTTCCGAAGCTTCCAATGAAAATGTCAAAGCAACATTTCCCGTAGATGGTGACAACCAATGTCTGTTTCTAAACACAAGGGAGGGTTGTGTGTCGGCTCAGCCCTGGAACGGTGCCATGTGTGTACAATCTACTTCTCAGCCATCTGCATTCCTTTGAACACAAATCCTTTGTTTTGATAGTCATCTGAATTATCTTGTCATCGGGAAAATAATTAACTTTTATTGTTCCATAAAAAACAAACCAGTGAGTGTGTTGTGAGGCCCGGGATCCCACAAAACAATGATTATCTTCCTACGCTGCAACTCTTCCCTGGGAGATGGAGATGTTGTACAAAGAATGAATAATACTACAACTAATAACAATAATAATACCACAACCGCTATGAAATATAACAATATAATAAAGCTTAGACTTTTTTTTATGCAATTTGATGACAATTTCAGTAAACAAGATGTGAACGATTGTAAAACATGTTAACAACGCCGTAAAACGCAGATGTTTCCTGAAAATGTTTGTTCCAATCCTTTTTTTGTTAAAGTAGATGGGAACTGTAACTGAATGGCATTTAGTTTGCTTAAACACGGCGTAACATAAATAATCGCCCTTTTTTTTTGCTTTCACCTCTTTATCATCAATTGTTGCATCTCGGTGCTGCTGATCCCCTGCAGCCTCTTTGTAGCCACTGCCTGTTTACAAACACTCCAGCGACGGTTTTATGGCATTTTCTGATGGTATCTGACCATTCGAGCACTCGGGCACTGCCCAAGGGCCCGGGCTCAGTAATGGGCTCCATGAAATGCCTCTGGTACCTTTTATAGGCTTTTTTGGGTGTGCTTTGAGTGTGGGCGAGGTCACAGAGGCCCCATGATCCCCTATTGCCCGGGGGCCCCATGAGTTGTCAGTCCGCCCCTGGTATCTGCATAATGCGGTTGATTTACTGAGTCTAGGTTCACACCTATGCAGGTTGCTTTTTGCGCTTTTGCACTTGCGTTTTTGCTGCTTTTTTTTTTAATTTTTCTTGTTGCTAGGCAGATTTTAAATGCAAAACACGGCGAAAAAAGCAATACGTGCTTTTCTGCAGCGTTCCCATTGAAGTCTATAGAACCAAAAAACGCAATGTTTCGCGTTCAAAAAAGTCCTTGAGCCCGGGTTCACACTGATGCGGCGAGGAATTCTTTTCACAAATTTTTGGGACATTGGACTTTAATTTGGGACTTTTGTTGGACTTTAATTACCTCCCACCCGCCATGTAAGGAAATGACGGGCGCAAAGCGGTTCTCTCGTTCTGGGAGGACGTCATATGACCTCCCACTCTAACCACGCGCGCGCGCGGCTCCGGGAGCGCGCAGCGTGGCGATCAGCGGTGCACTGTCTCCCTCGGATACAGCGGATCACCGATCAATGGAAAGAGCCGAAGATGTTGGCTCGGTCATGTGATCAGCTGTGTCCAATCACAGCTGATGGCATGTAAATAGGGAAATGCCGGTTATTGGCATTTCTCTCCTCACGAGCTGTCACGCTGACAGAGGAGAGGAGAGCCGGTAATCGGCATCCCTCAGAGGGGACATGTACACTGATCATCAGGGCACTGATGATCAGTGTGCCCTGATGATCAGTGTAGCTCCAGCAGTGCCACCTGCCAGTGCACATCAGTGCCACATCAATGCCACATATCAGTGCCCATCTGAGCTGCCGTTCAGTGTCACCTATCAGTGCCAGTCAGTGCCGCCTATCAGTGCGCATCAGTGTCGCCTATCAGTGCCCGTCAGTGCTGCCTATCAGTGCTGCCTAACAGTGCCACCTATGGTCATATGGTCATTAGTGCCATATATGAGTGCTGCCTTTCAGTGTGCATCAGAGATGCCTGTCAATGCCCATCAGTGCCACCTACCAGCACCTCCTCATCAGTGCCCATCAGTGCAGCCTATCAATGCCCATCACTGCAGCCTCATTAGCACGCATCAGTGAAGGAGAAAAAAATCACTTATTTACAAAATTTTAAAAACTAAAAACTTTTTTTTTTTTTCAAAATTTTTGGTTTTTGGTTTTTGGTTTGTTTAGCAAAAAATAAAAAACCCCGAGGTAATTAAATACTATCAAAAGAACGCTTTATCTGTCTCAAAAAAATGATAAAAATTTCATATGGGTACAGTGTTGCATGACCGCGCAATTGTCATTCAAAGTGCGACAGCATTGAAAGCTGGAAATTGGCCTGGGCAGGAAGGGGGTAGAAGTGCCCTGTAGGCAGGAAGGGGGTAGAAGTGCCCTGTAGGCAGGAAGGGGGTATAAGTGCCCTGGGGCAGGAAGGGTAGGGAGGGGGTAGAAGTGCCCGGTAGGCAGGAAGGGGGTAGAAGTGCCCGTAGGCAGGAAGGGGGTAGAAGTGCCCTGTAGGCAGGAAGGGGGTATAAGTGCCTGGTAGGCAGGAAGGGGGTATAAGTGCCCGTAGGCAGGAAGGGGGTAGAAGTGCCCTGCAGGAAGGAAGGGGTTAGAAGTGCCCGGTAGGCAGGAAGGGGGTATAAGTGCCCGGTAAGCAGGAAGGGGGTAGAAGTGCCCGGTAGGCAGGAAGGGGGTAGAAGTGCCCTGTAGGCAGGGGGGTAAAGGGGGTAGAAGTGCCCTGTAGGCAGGAAGGGGGTAGAAGTGCCCTGGGCACGAAGGGGGTAGAAGTGCCCTGTAGGCAGGAAGGAGGGTAGAAGTGCCTGGTAGGAGGAAGGGGGTAGAAGTGCCCGGTAGGCAGGAAGGGGGTAGAAGTGCCCGGTAGGCAGGAAGGGGGTATAAGTGCCCGGTAGGCAGTAGAAGTGTCCTGGTAGGCAGGAAGGGGGTAGAAGGCAGGAAGGGGGTGGTAAGTGCCCTGTAGGCAGGAAGGGGGTATAAGTGCCCGGTAGGCAGAAAGGGGGTAGAAGTGCCCGGTAGGCAGGAAGGGGGTTAGAAGTGTCCGGTAGGCAGGAAGGGGGTAGAAGTGCCCTGTAGGCAGGAAGGGGGTAGAAGTGCCCTGTAGGCAGGAAGGGGGTAGAAGTGCCCGGTAGGCAGGAAGGGGGTAGAAGTGCCCTGTAGGCAGGAAGGGGGTAGAAGTGCCCGGTAGGCAGGAAGGGGGTAAGTGCCCGGTAGGCAGGAAGGGGGTGCCTAGGCAGGAGGAGGGGGGTAGAAGTGCCCAGTAGGCAGGAAGGGGGTAGAAGTGCTCGGTAGGCAGGAAGGGGGTATAAGTGCCCTGTAGGCAGGAAGGGGGTAGAAGTGCCCTGTAGGCAGGAAGGGGGTAGAAGTGCCCTGTAGGCAGGAAGGAGGTAGAAGTGCCTGGTAGGCAGGAAGGGGGTAGAAGTGCCTGGTGGGCAGGAAGGAGGTAGAAGTGCCCGGTAGGCAGGAAGGGGGTATAAGTGCCCGGTAGGCAGGAAGGGGGGGTAGGTGTAGAAGTGTAGGCAGGAAGGGGGTAGAAGTGCCCTGTAGGCAGGAAGGGGGTAGAAGTGCCCTGTAGGCAGGAAGGGGGTATAAGTGCCCGGTAGGCAGGAAGGGGGGTAGAAGTGCCCGGTAGGCAGGAAGGGGGTAGAAGTGTCCGGTAGGCAGGAAGGGGGTAGAAGTGCCCTGTATAGAAGTGCCCTGGTAGGCAGGAAGGGGGTATAAGTGCCTAGGCAGGAAGGGGGTGAAGTGCCCTGTAGGCAGGAAGGGGGTAGAAGTGCCCGGTAGGCAGGAAGGGGGTATAAGTGCCCGGTAGGCAGGAAGGGGGTATAAGTGCCTGGTAGGCAGGAGGGGGGTAGAAGTGCCCAGTAGGCAGGAAGGGGGTAGAAGTGCCGGTAGGGGAAGGGGGTATAAGTGCCCAGTAGGAGGAAGGGGGTAGAAGTGCCTGGTAGGCAGGAAGGGGGTATAAGTGCCTGGTAAGCAGGAAGGGGGTAGAAGTGCCCGGTGGGCAGGAAGGGGGTAGAAGTGCCCTGTAGGCAGGAAGGGGGTAGAAGTGCCCTGTAGGCAGGAAGGAGGTAGAAGTGCCTGGTGGGCAGGAAGGGGGTAGAAGTGCCTGGTGGGCAGGAAGGGGGTATAAGTGCCCTGTAGGTAGGAAGGGGGTAGAAGTGCCTGGTGGGCAGGAAGGGGGTAGAAGTGCCTGGTGGGCAGGAAGGGGGTAGAAGTGCCTGGTGGGCAGGAAGGGGGTATACGTGCCCGGGAGGCAGGAAGGGGGTAGAAGTGCCCGGTAGGTGAGGGGTAAATATATATTTTTTTCACATTTTCATTATTTGTATTATTTGCGCTGTATCACTTTATGAGTATATTTTGATGTTTAGTCAATTTTTGAACAGCAGCATTTAATTTATTGATCTATTAAGGTGCAGTGCTAGAATCATAAATCCAATATAATGCAATCACTAATGAAATCATAAAGTGCAGAGGCTAAGAACGTAAGTGATGAATCAACCAGCACAGGTAAATCCATAAAGTGACAATCATTGCAAATGCACGTTCCCAAATACAGGTAAAAAGATAAAGTGACAACAGTGCAAAAGCACATCCAGAAAAGTGAAGATGGTGCTATAAGTGACAAAGTCTGTATATCAATAAATAAACGTGAAGCTTCAAATAAAGTGATCCTCTGTGTATCTTCTGGGGATCAAATAATAGAATTACGTACTCACCAGATGCACAATTCCATCATGCATTTGAGAAAAATTACATCTCAGTGGGCCAGCCGGAGCCTCTTATGGACACCTCTATCCTGGTATGGACTTCCCTCTGGGTCATCAATGGGATGCAGTCAGGGGCAGACTGAACATTTGGGAACTCTGGCACTGCCCGAGGTCAGAAGGGGGCCCCATGAGATGCCTTTTTCATAGGCTTTTGTGGGTGTGGTTTGAGTGTGGGCAAGGACACAGGGGCCCCATGGTCCCCTATTGCCCGGGGGCCCCATGAGTTGTCAATCCACCCCTGAACGCAGCACCTCTCACCTCCTTTCTAAGTGGGCTCTGTGGGTGGTAAGGCTCAGCAAGAGCCCCAAGAAAGGATGCCAAAATAGTGTGATACCACTTCAAAAGGGATTTTTATTGATCCATAACAGGAATAAAACAGAAGTGGAAGTAAAAAACAGACTGACCATGAGTTGAAAGTAAAGATGGCTGCCGTACCAGCATGGGCCTCGGCAGCGTGATGTCAGGACGCTGCAGCTTCTCCCATACGTGTTTCGTGCTCTAGCACATATTCATAGGGGGTAAATTTATTGTCTATTCCTTTGACGCAAGTTTTCTATATATTTGGTGCGTAATTCGCAGCATCACAATCACACACCCCGTTCACTTGCGAACAGCGGCGGGTGTGTATGTTAAGTTAACAACACCCCGAAAACGGTTTATGCAATGTGCAGAATCGGATCGCATAGGTGTGAATACCCATGCGATCCGATTCTAGTGCGGACCAAAAAAAAAGGGTCCTGTACTCCTTTAGTGCGGATTCAGTGCAATTTCAGCCATACAAAAATGTACGGCTCAAATCGCAGCGCAGAATGTAAGTTGCCCAGGAATGCGGTGCGGTTCCTGTGCGAATCACATGCGATATGCCGCACCGCACAAGGCTGACCCTTTCCAAAAAAACGCACCGGGTGAACTTTGCGGGGGCTTCTTGCAGATAGCTTGGCTTCACATCGGCGTCTTCTAATTGCAGCAGTCCTCACAGGGAACGTCACACCTTCTTTCATCTTCCGGAGCTGATTGTTGGCTGAGTCCTTGCCATTTTGGCTATTCTTCTATCCATACCAATGGTAGTTTCTCGCTTTTTCTTCCGCGTCTTTCAGGATTTGGTTGCCATTTTTAAAGCATTTGCGATCATTTTAGCTGAGCAGCCGATCATTTTCTGCACTTCTTTATATGTTTTACCCTCTCCAATCAACTTTTTAATCAATCTTCTTCTGAACAATGTCTGGAACGACCCATTTTCCTCAGAATTTCAGAGAGAAATGCACTGTAACCAGCATGTGCAACATTTGCCCATTTCATGCAAAAACGTTTTCACCATAGGGGTTCCTTAGGGCAATAATTGCCACCTGTTTTTCAAAGAATGAATGACCTCACTAATAGAACTCCACACTGCTATTATTTTGAACACGCCCCTTTCAATGAGTGATTCAATGACACAGAATCAGCAGCACGCATGTCATGACTGTTGGGTCTGTTGGATTTCTATGACTCTACTACACCTGCTAGGAAATTATTTGCCATGTAGAAATATCATTTCCACCAAAAAACAGGGATTGATCCGGTTAGTGATGTCTGACTGCTATTATTTTGAACACAACTGTATGTATTGTAACATATTTTGAAATATATTGAATACGGACAAAATTGTTCTGTCTGCATTTCAAATATATGGTAATATATTTGGGAAGAATATTTTTAAAATGTATTTCAAATATATTTTTCTTCCATGTGAGACAGAGCCAAAAGTATGAAAAGAGTGCTTGTGGCCAAATATATATGGACCTAACTGTATATTATATTTATAATATATATATATATATAATAAATTATATATATATCTATCTAATGTATATAAAAAGATTATATATATATATAAATAATATATATATTATATATAAATATTAATATATAGATATATAAAAATTTTAATATTATTTTATATAATATAATATATATATAAAATAGTATATTAATACATAATATATATATAAACTATATATAAATTATATATATATATATATATAAATATATATAAAAAATATTATAATATATATATATAAAATAATATATATATATATGTTTTATATATAAATATTTATATATATATTATATTTAAATATATAAATATATATTTTGATAAATTATTTTATATTATTATATATATATATATATTTATATATTTATATATATATATATAAATTTTTAAATATATTATATTATATATATTTTTATATATAAATTATATATATATATATAAAAATAATATATATATATAAATTTTTTCATATATATATATATATTATTTATTATATTTTATAATATATAAATTAAACTATATATATATATTATATATATAAATTTTATAAATATTTTTTTATATATAATTTTTTTTATTTTTTTTTAATCTGTGTACTTAGCTGTTTGGCTGGAGTTCAGCTTTAAGCATGAATATCACTAGCAGAGAGTACGAAATATTTTTTTTTGAATAAACTTGGGTTACTAATAAACTTCTTCTGGTGGCTTCGTGTGCCAGAAGGAGCTACATTCTGAACAAGTGTAACATATAAATCCCAAAGTAACGTGCAGATGTTTTGCATTATTCAGCCCCCAAATGAAAAAAGAAAATCAGAATGTAATAAAATATTCTTTCTATTGCCAGCAAGAAAGGAATAGTTTTTTTATGAACATATGCACATATATATGTATTGGATAAATCACAGTCCTAGATCCCATTACAAGTCTTCAATGCGCATTTTCCAAAGAAGTACAGCTTGTTTCCCCAAATTGAACGTCTGACTATCCGACATGGAAACAGATATATGGTATATTAATGACCGCCTGGCGTTGTAACTGAACTGTTTTTTCAGATTTCTCTTTATTTCCTGAATGCCGTGTCGTTGATAATCGGACAATATATAGTATGATAAATTTGATTTTAAGAGGGGAATTACATCGGAAAACGGCTTGCGTTATAAAAAAAAAAGCTTGACGGAGCTTCGGGCCCTCGCTATTTTTTGGAAGACTTAAAGCGGAACTAAACCCGTTGGTTTAACTGTTCTCCAAAACATTTCTATTCGAGGCGTGCCGTGACGGATAACTGGCAACGTTGCATTTGATCTCAACTGAACCAAGATGGCAGCTTCCTTAGCTGTAAAGGTTGGGAGGGTTTAGTTCCTCTTTGAGCACTTTGTGAGATGCGGAGCCTTCAAGAGAGTGGCTGGGTGGTAGTAGAAATGAGATATTCTGTTGTTGTAACTGGAAATGTAATAGATGTAGCAACCTCCTAGATAGGCATGTAGGCAGGTGCAGTTTGCTTTCTCCACTGGAGCTGGCGCTAAACCCCAATGGCATTGCAGAGGGGGAGGAAGTCATGGTTCCACTATGGCACATGTGCCTATGGCCAAATGCGATCCGTCAAGCCATTTCATGTGGCCCTCGCACCTCTCCTGTAGCTGCGGCACCCCCCCTTGTCTCCGCCCCTCACCTTGTCTCAGTAGTGGTCAGCAGAGAGGAGGACAGGTTTCCTCTGCCAGATCCTGAGCCTCTCTGTGCAGCCGGAGCTCTTCCTCCAGTTCCACCTTCCCTAGTCTCAGCATTCAGCATGCTCCAACCCTTCTCGATGCGATCCATCAAGCCATTTCATGTGGCCCTTGCACCTCTCCTGTAGCTGCGGCACCCCCCCTTGTCTCCGCCCCTCACCTTGTCTCAGTAGTGGTCAGCAGAGAGGAGGACAGGATTCCTCTGCCAGATCTTGAGCCTCTCTGTGCAGCCAGAGCTCTTCCTTCAGTTCCGCCTTCCCTAGTCTCAACATTCAGCATGCTCCAACCCTTCTCGATGCGATCCGTCAAGCCATTTCATGTGGCCCTCGCACCTCTCCTGTAGCTGCGGCACCCCCCTTGTCTCCGCCCTTCACCTTGTCTCAGTAGTGAGCAGCAGAGAGGAGGACAGGATTCCTCTGCCAGATCCTGAGCCTCTCTGTGCAGCCGGAGCTTTTCCTTCAGTTCCGCCTTCCCTAGTCTCAGCATTCAGCATGCTCCATCCCTTCTCGATGCGATCCGTCAAGCCATTTCATGTGGCCTTCGCACCTCTCCTGTAGCTGCGACACCCCCCCTTGTCTCCGCCCCTCACCTTGTCTCAGTAGTGGGCAGCAGAGAGGAGGACAGGATTCCTCTGCCAGATCCTGAGCCTCTCTGTGCAGCCAGAGCTCTTCCTTCAGTTCCGCCTTCCCTAGTCTCAGCATTCAGCATGCTCCAACCCTTCTCGATGCGATTCATCAAGCCATTTCAAGTGGCCTTCGCACCTCTCCTGTAGCTGCGGCACCCCTCACTAGTCTCCGCCCCTCACCTTGTCTCAGTAGTGGGCAGCAGAGAGAAGGAAAGAATTCCTCTGCCAGATCCTGACACAATTTATTCCATTATCTTTTAGTAAAAAAAAAATAACCCAAATTAGTTTATAACCAAAAATGTTTAAACATTTTTTTTTACATTTTTATTTTATTTTTTCTTTATATTATTATTTATGGTATTTTTTTTTTTTACATACTGTCACCCTAGCAGTACAGTGTCACCATGGTACTACTTGTGGGGGGTGATGAAGATTTTCTCTCTGGCTGCATTCTTGCAGCCATTGAGAACTACTGAGTGAGCTGTGATAGGTCACAGCTTGTCACATGGTACAAGGCTGTTGTGAATAGCCCTGTACCATGTGACCTCTGTGATCATTCACAGATTTCACACGTCGTAAGCAATGATGTCAGAAGTGACATCTTGCTTACTATTCTGCATGTGATCACTGATTGGCCAATCAGTGATCACATAATCGGGACCTCGCACAGAGGTCCCGTACAACGATCGGTGTTCCACTGTGTTTGGAGGACACAGCGGGCACCAGATCGCGGTGCTCCCAAGGAGCGCGCACAAGCAGGGGGCGGGGAGGTCCTTTATAAATGGCCACTCACCCCCGCACTACCACCGTCCGGCCATTTATATACAACGGCCAGACGGGAAGTGGTTAAGAGCTGCGGTCCAGTTCTGCTGAAACTTGCTGGGAACTGATTGAGAAATTTCACAGAGGATCTGGTTTGGAGAGTTCATGGGAGAAATGTCTGGCTGGTATTGGAAGGAGGCGTCCACAAATCCAGGGACATTGTGAATACAGACCTGAGTGTAGGATCCTAGTGACTGTGCGCTGCTACTCTCCCTTCTGCACCACTGCCAGAGTTTGCTTGAATTGGGACATTTCCTATGGTGTCTCCATGTTCTCATGTGTTGCTAGAGGGACCATACTAAGAAGCTTTAGAGTGTCCATGTGTTACTACCAGGGGTGGGCTGACAACTCATGGGGCCCCCGGGCAATTGGGGATCATGGGGCCCCTATGTCCTTGCCCACCCTCAAAACACCCCCAAAAAAGCCTATAAAAGATACCAGGGGCATTTTATGGGGCCCCCTAATGGGGGCAGTGCCCAAGTGCTCGAATGGTCAGTCCGCCCCTGGTTACTACATCGTGCTACCAGGAGCATCCCACAGCTTCCCTACACCCTATCCAAAGTACAACTTTCAACTTTAAAAGCATCCAAAAGAAGATAGCCCTAGACTGTTACCTCTCCACCCCTCGCCTCACCCCTCCAGTCTCCGCCCGTATCACCCACCTACTGAACAAACATATCAGACTGGATGTCGCTCCATTTCCTCAAATTGAACCTTTCCAAAACCAAGCTCCTGATTTTCCCCCCAGCCCGTGCCCCCCCCCCTTCACCCTCTCCATCACAACCAACAACACCACCATCAGTCCCACCCCACAAGCCAAAGTCCTAGGTGTCACTCTAGACCAGGGGCGGACTGACAACTCATGGGGCCCCCGGGCAATAGAGGATCATGGGGCCCCTATGTCCTTGTCCAAACTCAAAAAAGCCTATGAAAAAGGTACCAGGGGCATCTCATGGGGCCCCCTACTGACCCCGGGCCCTCGGGCAGTGCCTGAGTTTCCAAATGGTCAGTCTGCCCCTGCTCTAGACTCAGACCTGTCCTTCCAAACCCATGTCCAATCATTGGCAAACTCATGCAGACTTCACCTCCACAACATCTCCAAGATACGTTCATTCCTAACCCCAGACACTACTAAACAACTCGTTCACTCCCTTATTATCTCACACCTGGACTACTGCAACTCCCTCCTCACCGGCCTACCTCATCACAGACTATCCCCGCTTCAGTCTATCCTGAACTCAGCGGCCAGACTCATCCACCTTACCAACCGCTCCGCTTCTGCCACCCCCCTCTGCCATTCCCTCCACTGGCAGCCGATTGCCCAACGCATTATATTCAAACTACTAACACAGACATACAAAGCCTTTCATAACTCTGCCCCAAACTACCTCACCGACCTGATACCCAAATACCACCCAATCCATAACCTTCGCTCCTCACAAGACCTCCTACTTTCTAGCTCCCTGGTCTCCTCCTCCCACACCTGACTGCAGGACTTCTCCAGGACTACCCCAATCCATCAGACTGTCATTTACCCTCCTCACCTTTAGGCGCACCCTGAAAACCCATCTCTTCAGGGAAGCCTACCCTGCCCTCACCTAACAGCCGATCTCCTCCACTTCTCCCACCACTCCATCCCCCACAGCCACTTCCTCCTAGATTGTAAGCTCGAAAGAGCAGGGCCCTTGAACCCCTCGTGTATTGTATTGTTACTGTATTGTCTCATGTTCTGTCCCCCACTATAATGTACAGCGCTGAGCACACCTTCTGGCGCTATATAAATACTGTATAATAATAATAATAATGAGTGAGAAGAGTGACTGTTACCATGTGATTGGCTGCAGTGGTCTGTGAGAAGAACCTGGGGCAAAACAGCAGGCCCTTTCTGGGATAGCTGATCCAATTGACCCAAATAGTCAATAGTCTTGCCCAATCCTTGAATGGTTACCCTGTCCTCTATTACAGGGGTCTCCAAACTTTTTAAACAAAAGGCCTTCGGACTTTTGGAGGACAGCGGCACCCCCCTGAAGAAGGGATGGAAGAGGAGACATGCACAGCATGGGGACCAGGTGGGATCTGAGAGAGGCTGCGAGCCGCTTGATGGTGTATGTAGAGCCTGACTCCTGTTCCCCGGGGAAGTCCAGAGCTGTGAAGGTGTCTTCTCTCTCACCAGGGTGGTGGGGGTTGCCAGTGTATTGGGGGGCGGTGGCAGGGGCGGACTGGTAACTCATGGGGTCCCCGGGCAATAGGGGACCATGGGGCCCCTGTGTGCTCGCCCACACTCAAACCACACCCAAAAAAAGCTTATGAAAGGTACCAAGGGCACCTCATGGGGCCCACTACAGCCCTACTGCACGAGTGGTCAGTCCGCCCCTGGGCGATGGTAGTGGAAGGCTCTCTTGGGTGGGGGCTGGGGTGTTGTTGGTCAATGTCAGGCACTCTTCATGGGGGAGGGCGGTGTTGGTCGGTGTCAGGGTCTCTATGTGGGGGGGGGATTTTTGTGCCCTCCAGCACACCCCAGCCCCCTTTGCCATTGCTGGAGGTCCCCATGTTCCCCCTGAAGTAAGCACTGTATGTCCAGAATGTGGACAACATACAGGAGGGTTCTGAGGAGCTTTTGTAGCCCTCAGGAGCCATTTAAAGCCCACCAGATCCTTAACCACCTCCCGTCCGGCCCATGTATATAAACGGCCAGACGGGAACAGTGCAGGGTCGGGGGGCCGTTTATAGACGGCCTCCCCGCCCCCTGCTTCTGCGCACTCCCTGGGAGCGCGCAGCACCGCGATCCGGTGCCCGCTGTGCCCTCTGGACACAGTGAAAAACCAATTGTCGTATGGGACCTCTGTGCGAGGGCCCGATCATGTGATCACTAATTGGCCAATTAGTGATCACATGCAGAGTAGTAAGCAAGATGTCACTTCTGACATCATTGCTTACTACGTGTGAAATCTGTGAATGATCACAGAGGTCACATGGTACAGGGCTATTCACAACAGCCTTGTACCATGTGACAAGCTGTGACCAATCACAGCTCACACAGTAGTTCTCAATGACTGCAAGAATGCAGCCAGAGAGAAGGAGAAATGATTGCTTGTACAGCCTTTATGGGTGTAAAAGTAATCAGTGTAAAAAAAAAAAAAAAAAAAAAAAAAATCTTTATCACCCCCCACAAGTAGTACAGTGTCACCATGGTGACACTGTACTGCTAGGTGACAGTATGTAAAAAAAAACCCATAAATAAATAAATTATAATTTTTGGTTATAAACTAATTTGGGTTATTTTTGTACTAAAGAGATAGCTGAATACATTTTGGCCAAAATTTATGATGAAATATTATTTATTTGCAAAATTTTATAAGATAAACACTTTTCAAAATTTTTGGACTTTTTCATTTACATAGCAAAAAAACTAAAAATCCCAGTGGTGAATAAATACCACCAAAATAAAGTTTTTTATCTGTCTCAAAAAAATGCTAAAAAATTCATATGGGTACAGTGTTGCATGACCGTGCAATTGTCATTGAAAGTGTGATAGCGCTGAAAGCTGAAAATTGGCCTGGAAGGGGGTGAAAGTGTCCGGACTTGAGGGGGGTGAAAGTGTCCGGATTGTCGGATTGGAAGGGGGGAAAGTGTCCGGATTGGAAGGGCTGGAAAGTGTCCCGGACAGGAAGGGGGTGAAAGTGTCCGGACAGGATGGGGTGTGAAAGTGTCCAGGACTGGAAGGGGGGGAAAGTGTCCGTACTGGAAGGAGGAGAAAGTGTCCAGACAGGATGGGGTGTGGAAAGTGTCCAGGACTGGAAGGGGGGGAAAGTGTCCGGACTGGAAGGGGGGGAAAGTGTCCGGACTGGTAGGGGTGTGAAAGTGTCCGGACAGGATGGGGGTGAAAGTGTCCAGACTGGAAGGGGGTGAAAGTGTCTGGACTGGAAGGGGGTGAAAGTGTCCGGACTGGAAGGGGGTGAAAGTGTCTGGACTGGAAGGGGGTGAAAGTGTCCGGACTGGAAGGGGGTGAAAGTGTCTGGATAAGGGGCGGACTGACAACTCATGGGGCCCCCAGGCAATAGGGGATCATGGGGCCCCTGTGTCCTTGCTCAAACTCAAAAAAGCCTATGAAAAAGGTACCAGGGGCATCTCATGGGGCCCCCTACTGACCCCGGGCAGTGCCCGAGTTTCCAAATGGTCAGTCCGCCCCTGGCCTGGACAGGAAGGGGGTGAAAGTGTCCGGACTAGAAGGGGGTGAAAATGTCTGGACTGGAAGTGGGTGAAAATGTCTGGACTGGAAGGGGGTGAAAATGTCTGGACTGGAAGTGGGTGAAAGTGTCCCGGACTGGAAGGGGGTGAAAATGTCTGGACAGGAAGGGGGTGAAAGTGTCCGGACTGGAAGTGGTTAAAAACAACCGATCGCCCTCCCCCTTCACATTGACTCCAACGCATTTTACCGAAATGTCGAAGTTTTGCCAAAATCTCGTGATTAGGAAATCCCTGCTTGTTAGAGTCCACCTAACATGTGAAGATTTGGGGTAAGACAATCCTTTTCGATCTTCTTGTTGGCCCAGTCGTTTCTAGTGACACAATCCCCAGGACCCAGGGGCGGACTGACCATTTGGAAACTCGGGCACTGCCCAAGAGCCCAGGGTCAGTAGGGGGCCCCATGAGATGCCCCTGGTACTTTTTTCATAGGCTTTTGTGAGTTTGGGCAAGGACACAGGGGCCCCATGATCCCCTATTGCCTGGGGGCCCCATGAGTTGTCAGTCCACCCCTGCCGGGACCACACAATATCCAGACCTTTCCTTCCACCTTGACACTCCGAATGGATTTTCGGGACACACCTCACCTCCCAGTCCCACGCTCTGTTTTTTTTCGGGATGACAACATTCAACTCTTCTTCAGCAACACCTAGTAAAAAAAAAAAAAATCTCTTCATAAATTGAATGGAAGCATCCCAACACGAGATATCGTCTTGCACTTATTACCGGATTATTAAATCGTTTTCCCTCTCTTCTCCAACACAGGAATCTCACTCGGCATTCCATGACATCTGCGGATTTGACCTTTCAAAAGGAGCTCCGTACACCCTGGAGCGTCCCTAGGGTTGGTGTCAACCGATGCGGCGCACACCCCCCGCACCTGCCTAGGGACGCCCCTGCGTACACCTATTGATCGTTCTATCAGGACCACATTTTTTGCAAGAGCCGTCCGTCCTGTCCATCCAAAAAAGTCGTTGTTTTATTTTTTTATTTAGTTCATGTAGCGTGCAAAAATACTCAAAAAAATTAAAGGAACGCTTTGTAATCCGAGTCCGGCATCAAGTCCGTGACACTTCCAGGATATGGATCTGGTCTGGTAAGTCGCAGAGGGGGTTGTTTATCAGTTTCAGCTGCTTTGGTGGTCATGAAATTAACAACAGGTGCACTAGATGGGCAACAATGAGACGACCCTCAAAAACAGGAATGGTTTTACAGGTGGAGGCTACTGACGTTTTTTCCCCTACTCATCTTTTCTGACTTTTTCTGATTTGGCCAGGGTTGGTGTCACTACTGGTAGCATGAGGCCATACCTGGACCCTACAGAGGTTGCACAGGCAGTCCAACTCCTC